AAAGAGGCATGTCTGGCTGGGGACCAAAGCTACAGTGGGTGCATGGCCAAGGCCAAAGTACAGTGGTGGGTCTGCTAGTTCTGGGGGTCTGGGGAGTGGGGAAGGGAGGGGTGGGCGGGACCCGAGGGATCTGATGGCCTTTGGGGCTGTCCCTGTGGGAAGACCCTAGCCCAGCCTCCACTTGGAGGGTGAGCCTAGCACAGGAGCCAGCCGTGAGGCCACCCCATGTGGCCCTGTGTCCTCGCTTCTGTGCTTCCTCTGCCTGTGAAATGGGTGTGCGACCCCCTGCCTCCAGGAGCCTAAAGAGGACCATACAGCAGACAGAGGCTGAGCCCTAAGTGGGGATGTTGTGGGGACCCAAGACTCTCCTAGGGGATAAAAGAGGAGACCTGGTCTCTCATCTGAGCCCCTCAGACTCGGACTTACACCCCCCACCAAAGTCTCCTGGTTAACAAGTTCAGGGCCTGATGATTAACTAAATTCGAAAAGCTGATAAAAAAATCAGGATATAAATAAATATTCCTGGAGATATTCCACCCCCTGCAGGCATGAACTTTGAATAATTGGAGAGAATTATGCTGAGGACTAATCAAAACTTTTTTTTTTTTTGTGCTAATTACCTCTGAGTTTCATCAGCGTCTAATCAACTCCAGACACCTTAATTGACCCTCGGGAAATGCTGGGAACAGGGAGAGCTCTGGTGTCATACTGAAGGGGGCTGGGAGACTGGGAGCTGGGGTCCTGGATCTGGGGAGGGGGCTGGCCGGAGGAAGGGTGAGCAGCTCAAGGCCACAGGTGCCCAGATCCAGAGGAATGACACCCTTGCCTGGCCCACAGGCCCTTGGCTTTGTCCTCAGGACCACCAGGTGCTAGCCCCTTAGATGGACGGCACAGGCTGAGTCTGGCACTGGGGCAGCCCCAGAGGGAGTGCTGACTCCTGAGAGGTGGCCAGGGGCACAGCATCTGTAGGTAGAAGAATTTCGTCCTTTCTCCTAAAGGAAACCGTTGGCAAGGGATGAAAAATTCCTCTTCCAATGCCCCAGAGATGGAAGAGGGTAGTTTGGGGGCTATGGGGGTGCGGCCCTGGGAAAGTAGGGGTTCCCTAGGACAGATTCCTGGGCAGGTGGGGTCCCAGGGACACCTGTCAGTCTGACCCTTACCAGTCTGTCTCTCTCCTTGTTTCCTCATCTCTCCATCTGTCTCCACCTGCCCACCATGCTGTCTCCCATGGGGTCTTAGGAGGCTGTCGAGCGGGGACAGCTCGGGCCCTGAGGTCATACAGCTGGGCAGGAGGCAGCTGGTGGGGCTTTCAGTGACCAGGCCACCTGACCTCTTGCCCCTCATGGTACTGGCAGGCAGGTCACTTTGAGAGGTATGAGATGATGCAGCTGGTTACCCCAGCACAGGCCACCCTGACCCTTCCTGCCATCCTCCAAGCTCAGCCTGGAAATGATTCATTTCTGCATCCCGGCCCTGGGTCTCAGAGTGGAAAGGGACCCCTCCCCCAGGCACTCTTGGGTTCTTTTCTTGTGTTGTCATTGATGTCAAGGTTTAGCATCCCCATGAGATTCAGGTGGGCACCCCAACCCCATGGGGACCCGCACCTGGATATACTGGGGACACCTCCCATCCAAGGAATGATTCTTTGGGGAGTAGACACTTTCCTGGCACAGTGCAGATGCCAGGATGATCCCCAGCAGCTGTGGCCATGGTGAACAGTGCCAGGAGGCCCGAGGCAGCTCCTTCTCCCCTTTCTCCTCCTCTTCCTAGAGAAAACGCCCAGGGGATCCCCCACAGTCTGCAGGGTGACATGGGCATGGACCTCTCCCCTGAGCCTCAGTTTCCCTTCCCTCACCTATGGTGAGGTTCTGTGAACCCAAGGGTCTTTCTGGCACAGACACTGGCAGCCACCTGGGGCCACCTGGGGTCAGATGCAGCCTCCTATCCTGGGCAGAGAGCCCACCGGCCTCACCAGCCCCTGAGTTCCAGCCCCAGGCCTGGGCTAGCCTGGCCTCCTTGGCCACAGGAAGAGCAATCTATCACTGGCCCGTGGCAGATGACTCGTCCCTTCTCCTGCCCCCGTTCTTGCTATTTTAGCTTCAGAATAATGTTTATCACTTCACGCCACAGTGTCGCCTGCCCTGCCTCCTCTCTCCCATGTATGGATTCCCAGTAGCTATCAGAAGGTTTTGCTGGGCTATTTTCATGATTTTAATTTTCCATTCCCTATCTCCTCTCTTCCCCCTTATTACATTTTGGGCTTTTTTGGGGCTTCTGGAATGAACATACATTTTCCTGGTTATATTTTTTAATAAAATCCATCATTTATGATTATTTTTCCTCCCCACTAGCTGTCAGACTCCTTGTTTGGCTTCTTACTGAGGTGGCTCCCTCCTGTCTCGTTCCCCACACAGGGGGACCAGGTGTCTTGGCTAGAGGGTTTGTCCCTCTGATCCTAGGACCCTCCTATACTTCCCCATCCCACAGCCCCCAGCCCTGCTGCCTTCTGTTCAGATCGCTTGGCCCTCTGGGGTTCCTGTCTTGGGTGAGTCTCACTTGCTCACCTTCCTTGCACATCCTACCTGCAAGACCTGAGTCAGGTTCCCTCTCTGAGTCTCAGTCTCACTGTATTTAAACAAACTTAGGGTGATGGATCATTCATTCATTTAACAAATAGTACTCAAGGGCCTCCTAAGTGTTGGGCATAGCCACACACCTGTCCTAGGGGAGGAACCTCCTTAGGTAAATGCCTACTTACCTGTACACCAGAGGCCCCCTCACACCTGGGCTTCCCTGGGATGTTACTGAGTGACTTTGACAAGTCACTGACCTTCTCTGAGCTCCCTTTCTTTCCATTTCTGTGAAAGAAAGACCTGGGCACTGCGCACCTCCCTCCTGGTTGCATGTTTCCCATTGCATCGGCCCCCAGGGCGTCTTGTTCTGAGCAGCTGCAGCCTACCCTGCTCCTTCATGGCTGCCTGCCGGTCACCAGGGGTGGCAGGACCATCTGGGCCCTTCCTTCAGCCTGCCGTGCTCACATGTCCAGCTAGCTGGGCTCCGGAGTTTCCGTCCAGGCCATGGAGAGGCTGCACGTGCTGCTTGCTCCAGCCTGGTCCTTCATGCCTCCTAGTCCTGAGTGGTCCTGTGATAGGGTCCTTGCTGGACTTATTGGGGCAGCTCCAAAGCCCAAGGCCACCATGGTTCCATCCAGCCTTGAGGATGGCCCAGGAGGGAGGGGTCTGTCCTCCCACACAGCCTTGCCCCATCCCTGGTGGAAGACGTCACCATGAATATTTATAATGCTTCATCAATATTCATGATCATAATGAACCACCCTTTTTATCCTGTTGCCCTTGGGTACCTCAGAGGTGCACTGGTTCCCCTATCCCATGGGGTTTGGCTGACTCCAATGTTGGTACCAGCCGGGTAGTCCTTCTTCCATGAATGGTGGAGCATCTGTGGTCAGGGAGCCCCTGGGTCTCAGGAGGCTCTGACCCTACTTCCTGTGTGTCAGCTAGCTTTTCCTCAGCCTCAGTTTCCCTTCACTCTTCTATGGTCCCTTTTGGCCCCTTGGGGGCTTGACCAGGCTGACCTGCTTCTAGAACAAACGTGCCCTCTCTGATTCCATTCACCAGGGGATCCATTGTGTGGGGACAAAGCTGGGGGTATGGGTTTCTGGAGGGTGTGCTGAGCGGAACTCAGGTTACCTGGGGTGAGTAACCAGAGAGGCCTGAGGTGAGGTATCCCCGCCACCCTTCTGGCTCAGGACCAGGGCTTGCTCAGCTGACCGCCCCTGGGACTGTAGCATGCATAGGGGAGTAGGACAGGGCTGTGGGGGTAGCAGCAGAAGAGTATTCAGCTGGGGAGCTGGCAATCAGGGACCTTCACCTAGGTCAGTGTGAACCAGGACCTCGGTGTGGTTGCTCAGAGGGAGCAACAGCTGCCTTGCTTGTAGCCTCAGTGTCCCTCAGTGAGGAAGCCCCCCGCTGTGGCTGCTCCTTGCTGAGCACATTTGGTGGTTTATCCAGAAGGGACCCAGCTTAGGGACAGTAATATCACCTCCAAAACCTAGAAGCTCCAGGGCGGGGGCAAACCCTGGGGTCACCAGGATGGCTCCAGCACCCTCTCTGGTCCATACCCTTCGTATTTCTTATTTGGCTCTCATGGACTGCAGCCCTGGGCTCTCTGGGAGGCCAGCCTCACTTCCCCATGGTATGGGCTCTCCTCCCCTCCCTTGTCTATAGGAGCCAGACAGGGAAGGAACTGGCAAGTAGGTCCCAGGACAATCAGATCCTGCACTCATCTTTCCTGTCCAGGGAGCAGGGTGTAGGCAGCCCTGCCCACTCTCAGCACTGCAGTGGTCTTACTACGCTGGGGATCTCCCTAG